TCCTCCATCACCTGCTTGGGCTGATAAAGAAGGCCACCTCTGTTCTAGGAACTCCTCAAAACCTCGGGGGATGATTTCATAAAAAAGACATTTTCATAATGTGAAGAACATTGTGGACAACAGTGAGAATCCTTTACAGAAGATTTTTAAACAACTGTGTCTTCAGTCAGAGGTTTCTCCAGATCTGGTGCAAGACAGACTGCTACAGAAGATCCTTCCTGCCCACCTACAACATCTCATTCAATATCTTGGTGCTCACATTATTAATCCATCCATCCATCCATTTTCCGTCACGCTTATCCCAAGCGGGGTCGGAGGAGGGTGCTCTTGCCTATCTCCAGCTGTCTACGGGTGAGAGGCTGGGCGCACCCTGGACAGGTCGCCAGTCCATCGCAGGGCACATTATTAATAAAGTATTTCTGAACTGAAGTTAATTGAATAAAATAGAATTGAAAGGATAATTATACATTTTTAAATCAATGTTAATCAAATGTTTGAAAAGCTTATTAAAAATAGTTACGGTAATATACATAAATAATACATTATATCAATGAATACATGTTAATGCATGTCATTCTTTTAAAAACAACTTTATAAGTTAATCATTTAGATAAAAAAATCTTCCTAAATATCTCAAAAGCTACATTAGCTCCTTTAACTAAAGTTTCATATATATATATATATATATATATATGATTTGTTAACTCTATGTTCCACTTACACTAGAAAAAATTGTTAAAGTGAAATTATGGTAAAGAATTTTCTTTGATTCAGCTAAATGCATGTTGTTCAAAGAAAATGTAAAACTATAAATATTTTTTTTTTCCATATTAACTTAATACAGGAGTAGAATGTATCGTTTTTCAAAGATGGGCGGTAGAAGAATATTTTAACCCCCTGAGATAGCCTCAATTCCTGGAAGGAGTTGAAAGCCAGTTCTCTTCTACAGAAGAGCGACTTCACTGACTTGTGCAACATCTCGCTTTTAGAGCCAAACATGCTGGGGGCAAGTCCATTGATTGACAGCTCCCTCAAGAGGAATATGCAAATTTTCTATTCAAAACTGTAGTCTCATTTCTCTGGCTCTTTAGCTGTGGAGGGCAGATGAGGTACTATAGTTTCTTTAGGTTTTAGTTCACACTGTTGCAGTATAGAAAACTGGTAGCCCTACAAAATATTTTACACTCAGCGCTGGGGAGGTTTTCTACTCTGGCCATAACTCTTCAAACCACAAGCTTTTTAAAATGTTGATAGTTTTTTTTTTTTTTTTTATCTTTGCCTTTTTCTATTTTAATGTACTGGACTGGTCATGTTTTAAGTTGTGCCTTGCAGGATGTTCTCTACCCACTT